CAGTAGTGGTAAGAAACATTTATGCACAATATTAAGTATAATATTCTATTGTTTAAGCTTCTAAAATTCACTCAAGGTGATCCTGGTAATTTATGGTGGTACTTTTGAGAAAAGTAAAAGATGTGAAGATCCACATCGTAAGTATTATCAAACAGTTTACTTCATTGCTTTTGACATTTATGTTATATCTTATTATTATCTAGCACAACGAAACAAAATTGTCCTGCATATATATATGTTAGAGTTACCAGCGATGGAATGAAGTTGGAAATATCACAAATGGTGGAAACACATAACCACGAGACTTCTGCATTGTTGTTCTCCAGTTTGCCAAATCAACAGCGCTTGGCACCTCAAATGAAAGCAGAAGTGTTCGAACTTATGGACATGAAAGCAAATAAAAAGCTGATCCAGTCCAAAATCCACACTGAAACCGGTAAAATGGTAACATTAAGGGACTTATCCAACATACGCAATACAGGTATATGAAACACAAAATATATTACATTAAAAAGTTTATCTTGTTAAACCTCGTTATTTTACAGAGATAAAAAATTGAGGAGTAAAAACTTTTGAGGAAACAGTGGAAGACGTAAAAAAGCTGTATCACTGCAATGTTGAACTTTTAACAGAAGATGAAGGTAATTTCTTGGGCATGTTTATTCAGGACTCAAGAATGAGGGAAGAGTTTCAAGCATTCCCCGAAGTTAGGTATTACAATTTTATATATTTATCTTATATTAATATAGGTACAATATAGGTAACCTAACCTGATGTATATCTATGTAAAAGGTTTGCGCTGATTCTACGTACAAATTGTTAGACATCAGAATTCCATTGATCGAGGATGGCAATGGTCAAAGCGAGATTGCAGCTCTTGGATTGTTGGTCAATGAACAGCGAGAGACATTAGAATGGTTTTTCAACAAGTTTAAAGAATGCAACCCAGATTGTTCAATGACAAGATAAAAAAACAAAAACAGACTATTGTCACGTCACGTGTTATCACGTCATGGGAAAAAAGTGTGGGATATAGATTTATACAGTATTTTAATGTATCAGCGCCACACTTATGTCACCCCACGCGTGTCACGTCACATTTCCTAGCTCACGCGTGATAGCACGTTTTTATTTTCTAACATCACATACATTTTCGACTCACGTGTCATCACGCATTTGGTGATTTGTCATTTGGTCTAAAATTTCATTTACCTACTTTAAATTAATTAATGTTAAAATGGATAAACTTTTAATCGAAAAAGTTCGTGAACATAAGGCCTTATATGACATTGGTTCCACCGATTATAGGGACCAACAAATAAGACAGAATGCATGGGAAGAAATCGGAAAGGAGCTTAAAATAACAGGTAATTAAATTATTATTTTTACTATTATTTTAGATTCTGAACAAAGAAAAAAATGTTTTGAATTTACTAAGATGATTTGTTTTATTTGTAAAATAAAAATAGAAATACCTCTTATTATGCTATTAGATTATTTTTATTTAGGAAAAATTCAGTCCACTCCTAAACGCGATAACCAAATAACTAAAATAGATATCTCGTACCTCCTAGTAGTTCAACTATTATGTGGATATCGTATTTTTTTCTAATATACAAATCTTCAAATACAAACTACAATACAATATATTCAATACTTTTCATTTTATTTAAATTTTAAAATTAATAAATAAACAAAGTCGTTTATTGATATGCATATTGCATTATATACAATTATAATAAAAATATAAGTAGTAAGAATTAACTAAGTATGTATTCTTCCTTTTCTAACACTATCGACTTGCCATACTACACTACCAGCATCAGAATTGAAATAA